TGGTTGGTTGTTTGGTTGGTTGGATGGATGGATGAATAGATGACGGATGGATGGATGATGGATGAATAGATGATGGATGGTCGGTTGGTCGGTTGGTTGGATGGACGGATGGATGGATGGATGAATAGATGATGGATGGATGGATGAATAGATGATGGATGGATGGATGGATGGATGAATAGATGATGGATGGATGGATGGATGATGGATGGATGGTTTCTGTGGTTTCCTTCTGTTCTCGCCCCTTTCAGCCTTTTTTCAACTCTTCCTCTTCCTCTTTCCTCCTTTTCGTCACACCGGTGACCTCAGGTGTTCAGGATCCTTTAGTAGGTGAGATCTGCTTTTTTCTGCCTTTTCCCGCCTGCTTTCTGGATTTTAAAGGAACTGAAAGCTGAGTAGGGTTGTTAAAAGTATCGATACTCAAAAAAGTTTTGATACTAAAACGTTGTATCCAAATACTCATTTTCAAAAATATCGATACCCCCCCCCCATTTATTTATTTATTTACGTTGTTTATGATCATTAACGTGACGTTAGCCTTGAATTGCTAGTTGCAGCTAACGGCTAATAATAACACGCCAACATTAATCAAGTCTGCAGGAAGCCAAGGATGGAGATCCAACTCCCCCACATCCAGGTCGGCCATTTTGATTAGGTCACCAATAGGAAGATCCCAGGCAAGAAAATCCTAATTGCTTCATGGCAATATAGACATTCATTTAAAAATAGTGAAATTAATCTTGCAAACACGGAATTAAACTCTATCCATAATATTATGTTAAAATAGTGGATGTTAAATAGGTTTGTACAATAAGTCCAAACAAGTTTAACCAAAAAATATTTATTTCTCACAATTATGAAGGATGGAGGGTTAGGTTTAGGGTCAGGGTTAGGGTTAGGGTTAGGGTTAGGGTCATTAATGTGGGCCACCATAACATCAGTAACAGGTCAGTTTGAAACCAAAGACGCTAACCTGTCAAAATTCAGTTAAATTTTGGCGTCTTTGTTTTTATCTTTGTGGTATCGAAAATGGTATCGAATATTTTCCTGAGTATCGGTATCGAGTTTTAATATTGTGACCCTAAAGCTGAGTGGTTTTATCCTTCCTAAACCTCGGCCGTTTAATACCACTATAATCTGAACTTAAATCTGGGTGGAGATAAAAGTTAGAACCCTAAGAAAAGGCCTGGAAAGGAGTCATTTCGGGGGATGTTTTGTTGACTTTTTAAACAGGTCCTGAGTCTGTTTTGTGTCTCTGTGAGCAGCCCGGGTCATCCCCGTTTATAAGGAGCCATCGGAGCTGCTGGCCGCTGTTATGGAGGAGACGGGGGGGCTGGGAGTGGACATAGTCGTGGATTCTGGAGGTAAAACGCCTTTGATTGAGTCCGCTTTCTACTCCTACTCCTTTCGTTTGCTCATGTTTGCCCGATTCTTTATTTGGAAGCCTGAGAATAAACCAGAGTAGATAAAGAGTACAAATATGACATTTATTGGTGTGATTATTGTTATTGTTAATGTTATTCGCCAGTTAGCTCTGACACGAACAGGCCAGGTCCTAATTCATGCAGATGACATTTGAATGTGGTAACAAATGGTGTGTGTTTGTGTTGACCAAAAGGTTTGGAACAAAGAAAGAAAAAGAGAGAAAAGAGAGTTTTTGGACACAGCCATAGACTTTAACAAAAAGTAAAGTTCTAAAAGGAATAAGACAATCAGTCATTGACATAAATTATGCTATAGCATACTATGCTAAAATAAGTAATTATGGCCAAATTCTAACAATTGGAAGCCTGAGAATAAACCAGAGCAGATCAAGAGTACAAATATGACATTTATTGGTCACAAACAAAGTAAATCAGTTAGCAAAGAGCCTCCATTTCCGGGTGTGATGGACAGTTTTCCTCTGGGCCTCCAACAGGAGGACGAGTGTTATTGGCCAGTTAGCTCTGACAGGAACAGGCCAGGTCCTAATTCATGCAGGTTTTGGTGCAATGTGATAAGAAAGTGTGGATGTTGAGCTTAAAGACAATTATCTACTGTAACAGTAACTAACCCAAACCCAAAAGTAGAATTATAAAGGGAATAATATGAATCTAAAAAGGAATAAGACAATCAGTCGTTTACATGGATTAAGTTATAACATACTGAGTTAAAGTGAGTAATTATAGCCCAGTTCTAACACTCACCTTCATTTTTATTTGCATTAAGTCCGTCTGCATGAGGGGGAGGAGGAGGAGAAACTCCTCCCACACAAACACGACCTCATCGGTGTGCTGGGAGTGGGGGGGCACTGGGTGACCTCCCACCCGGACCTGCAGGTGAGTCACACACTAAAGGGAACATTACAAACCTGAAGCAAATGGAGAGTGGGCTGTGTCTTTTAGGCTTTTAAGCAACTTTCTATTGGAAGATTTTTACATTTTATCCTTAAGAGAGCCACAGGAAATGATTCCTGCCAGTGGTCATCAATCTATCAATCTCTACAAAGCCTCTTTCAGAGAGTCAGACACCCCCCCTCTGTGAATTATTACTAATTTATTGGCATTTATTTATTCTTCTCGCACTATCATTGTCACCTATTTTTTATCTATATATATGTATATATACATATAGTTACATATGTATATATTTATTTGTATTTTGTGTGGAATGTTGTGTATATATGTATATATATATATATACACACACACACATAGATAGATAGATAGATAGATAGATAGATAGATAGATAGATAGATAGATAGATAGATAGATAGATAGATAGATAGATAGATAGATAGATAGATATGTATATATATATATACGTGTGTGTATTTATACATATATATATGTGTGTGTGTGTCTATATATATATATATATATATATGTGTGTGTATATATATATATATGGACGGACATGTGTATATTTTTGTGTGCTGTTTTATCTCTGGAGTTGGGAACGAAATTAATTTCCCTATTTCTGATTTTGATTTATAATTCTGCCCTTCCCTGATGAGACACATGAGACATGAGCCCCCTCCCACTGGAAAAACTTGATTCAGCATGGCAGCTTTCCCCTCACCCATTGATGCTGGTCCCTTTTGTTTCTGAAAGGGTGTCCTGTGACTTTTGCCTGTTTAAGACTCACATTAAAAGGTATAAACCGAGTTATTTTGTTATTTTACCTCCTCTCTGTCTCCTTTCCCAGCTGGACCCCCCCGACTGCAGGCTGCTGCATTTAAAATCGGCCTCTCTGTCTTTCCTCAACCCCGAAATCTGGACGGCCTCGGCCGCCCAGCAGGGGCGATACCTCCGTATCCCTCCCAGAACATAGTCCTATTGCTATCATAACTGCTATCATTATCATTAGTCTCAACATCATTGCCATTTTTAATCCATTATATGTGTTTATATCCATTCTCCCTCTGTCCTCTCTCTCTCTCTTTCCCTCTCTCTCTCTCACCCCCCACCCTGAGCCATGGTTCTGCTCCAGGTTTCTGCCTGTTAAAAGGAAGTTTTTCCTTGCCTGTGTCGCCTAGTGCTTGCTCATGGTGGGAATTGTTGGGTTTCTGTAATTAACTCATTGACTGCCAGAGTTTTTTGAGCATTTTGACTAATTTTTCAAGAGCCACAGAATAGTTTGTGCTATGACTATGTAAACACCGAACACACCAAAAGAAAGAGTAGACTCTCTTCTTTCATCAGGAAAAAAAAAAGTGTTTCTACCTTATTCCGTTCTTCCTGGACTTGCGTCTCACCGGCGACATGTTCTCTCATAGAACCGTTAGCTTTTTCTTATTTGCCTACAGTCTATGCTCATCTCCCATCAAAAGTGGCACTGCCCCCTAGAGGGTCAATTTGTTACTACGTACTCTGTCTAGAAGCCTGATATTTACGGACAAGCTTTAGCAGATCGTCCCCCAGCCACTCTCGTTGAAAAACATAAAAGACGTCTATATATTTGGCAGCCAATGAGTTGAACTTCAGAGTCCAGTCTGAGCTGCTCTGTTTGGAAAGCGCTGTGAGACAACTGTTGTTGTGATGTGGCGCTATATAAATAAAATTGAATTTAATTAAAAGTGTATCCCGTAAAGCTAAACAACACCCAGAAAAGTTTTAGCATCTTTAACAGAGGCTTTTGCAGACATTCTTAAGGATATCGTGGAGAAGATGTCTGCCGGGGTCCTCAGGTAACCAGAGATTCCCCTCACAGAAAAAGAGGATTACCCAGGAAGACCTGCCCCCCCCCCCAATAACGAAATGTGACTTTGTCTGTCTTCACAGACCCCAAACGGACGAAGCCGTCCCTCTCTACGAAGCCACGGTCGCCATGGAGACCGTCCAGCGTCACCCCAAGAAAAAAGCCGTGGTTCAGCTCTGAGAGGGACACATCCTGGATCCGGGGGTCCTCCAGGGATGAACCCCCCCCCAAAGGCCCAGAGTAACACAATGTGTTTTAGGGACAAGGACAAGAACACTGGACACAACTTTAAAATGTAACTTCATTCAAAAATGTTTCTTTTTGCACATGATTGTCCATTAATGATGAAAATGAACCAACAGAGCACCAGAAATGTTACAAACTAAAATATTCAACTCTAAATCTCCATGTGTGGACAGTAGGCTTTGAGTGTTCCCTTAAATACAGGATGGTGAGTGGCTTAAAAGTATAAACATATATATATATGTATGTATATGTATATATTAGGCTTGTCCTGATGCAATATCTGGATCGGCCGCCGATATCTGCAAAAAAATGTGTATCCAGACTCCAGATCCCTTTTTTTTTTTAAAGTCCGATTCCACATTAGCATTAGCATTAGCATATGTAATCCACAGGTCTGTGTCCTAACCATTAAGTTGTTATCAGAGTAAATCCCTGTTCAACATGAGTCTGACAACTAAGTAAGTAGATAAATAACTTTAAACTGTAATATATGCTCTGATAGGCCGGGATCGGTATCGGATTGGAAGTGAAAAAAGCTGGATCGGGACATCAATAATGGACAGTTTTTTTTTCACACCTTCAATTCCCGCGGACTCTCCAGGGGACACGTTATATCATCAGATTATTTCCATCAGAGTCTGCTTTCAGTTTTTCATTTGCACACTTTGTGAACATAAACCAACAGAGCACCAGAAATGTTACAAACTAAAATATTAAACTGAGTACAGACAGTCTTTGTTTCACACCTGGTTATAAAAAGGTTATATTTTACATCAGATTATTTCCATCAGAGGGTTAGTCATCAGAGATCCTTTTTGGGGAATAGAGTCTGCTTTCAGTTTTTCATTTTTTACACGATTGTGAACATGAACCAACAGAGCACCAGAAATGTTACAAACTAAAATATTAAAGTGTGTGTGGACAGTCTTTGTTTCACACCTGGTAGGTTATATTTTACATTTTATATTATTTCCATCAGAAGGTTAGCCGTCAGAGATCCTTTTTGGGGAACAGAGTCTGCTTTCCAGAAATGTTACAAACTAAAATATTAAACTGAGTGCGGACAGTCTTTGTTTCACACCTGGTTATACACAGGTTATATTTCACATCAGATTAATTTAACATTAGATTATTTACATCAGAACGTTAGCAGTCAGAAATCCTTTTAGGGGAACAGAGTCTCCCCAAATTCCCCCAAACGTCTTGTTTATCTCAGCTAACCGGTCCCCTCAGAAACGTCTCACTTTCTTCACCCGGGACCCCCAGAGCCTCCAGGCATTTTCCCAGGATGCACCTCTCCTCCTCCCTCAGCGCCCCGACCACGGCCAGCTGCTCCCCGATTGGCCGATCGCCCCCCCGGCGGAGCCCCCCGACCCGGTCCAGGGCCCGGAGCGCCCCCCCCAGCAGCCTCCGGCACATCGCCACGGCGACCATTAGGCTCCGCCCCTCCGCCTCCTCGCACACGACCACGCCCAGCAGAGC